AACTCTCGTCGCTCAAAACCAAGGATGTCGAGAAGACACGCATCATGGCAACAAGATCCTCGGTCAAAACCTGCCTCCGTGCTGCCCGATCTGCACTGAGAACCGCATTTGCCTCCCCGACGGGCACAACTGGCGACCCGACACCATGGAAAAAGTCGAGATGCTGATGACACGGCGGGATTAGGAACCCCTCCTCAGCAAACCCTTCTGTCAAGTCGACAACACTCTCAGGCATTTGAATCTTGGGCCGCTTGGAAGCCCCCTGGGACAGCGGGGAATGGTTGCTCTGGGGAGACGATGAAGAACCCCTTCCTCCCTAGTCGGCAGCAGCTTGCCCGACCACCTGGGCAACCCGCGTCTTCTCGGCGGTAGCCGCAGCCCTCGAGGCGGCCAGCTTCTTCACTCTCTCCTCGATAAAAGACATATTCCCTGCAAAAAAGAAAGAAAAAAGTTAGCAAACAAATGAAAAACTGTGAAGTCAAGGGAAGGGGGTTGGCCACCACCTAGGTAAATAAGGGCATCCTCCTCCGACCAACACTTGAGCAGAGCCTTCGTACTGATCAACCTCTTCCTTTGGCAAACACGCCCCTGGCTTCGCGAACATATCTATCGTCAGAAGTCACCAAGTTCGACGGGGGCAGGCTGGCCACAAACGAGACTATATTTTGGTAACCGGCCAGATCCTCCTCGTCCAGGGTTCCTTCCCGCTCTATGTATTGGTCGGTACCCTTCGTGAAATGTTCCTATGTCCACTCCAAGGGAACCTTCGGTACCAAGACGACCACCCACTACCCGTTCACTACTCCAAGGGGCAATTGTTTTAATGAAATATGATAAGCAAAATTGATATTTTGAACACTTGTATATGCAAAGATAAAATGTGTTCATATACCTTAATTCATGATCAATCTTTTAGCGACTTCAAGACTTTTATGATGAACTTGAAACTTGAAAGCTTGATACTTGTCTTGAGTCATTCCTTTTTGTCATTGTCAATGGGCTGCATAATATTGTTATCTTCATCAAAACATATTTGAGAAGCTTGATTCTACAGGGGGATTGGTCTAGAGGGATTGGCACGAGTTGTTGATTTTGAGTGTAAGTGGTTTTTTGGGTTGGGGGTTGGGTATGTGATGATGAAACTTATTGGCGTGGGTCAACCAAATATCTTGGATGAGACAAGAAATTAACGGTAACCTATATATACCAATTCATGCATTGGATAGTTGGTTTAGACTCAAATGGCAGCACAATGTCGGTCATGACTAAATGACAATGATGCTTCCATTCACAACATTCAGCTTTTGCATAGTGCGTCCAATCGGGGTAGTTTCATTGGTCTGAGACTTTATTTTTGTGGTATTTAGCAAAACATCTTGGAGGACATGGAATTTCCTATAGCATGCCAAAATAAAGTTTCACACGATTACTGTGGTGCATCTCCGTCGTAGTGAACATAATAATTGGTGTCTTTGCACTCCACACTGCAGCGTCTTGTTGATTCACTTCATGCATGCCTTCTAACTCAATACATGGTCTCCAAATAAATTGTAGTAGAAAAAAATATAAGTTTAGTATATGTTAATAATAAGTTAATAATAAAGATAAATCTATTTTAAATAAATAGGTTAGTAACAATATATCATTTTAACCCAAATGATCCAAAAGGTTTTTGTATTGGGTGATGTTGTAATGGGGACAGTTGTGGTAATCCATCCCAAGTGCTGACCACCTACAAAATGAATATAAATTATTTGGTGTTAATAGTATAAACTAAGTAAGAGGATATCTTTGGTATTAAATATTTGGTGTAGAATTACCTTGTTGCATATGGAAATACGTAATCATGGCGGTTGATTGGTGCTAGATTGGTCACTCTCGACCAACCCCAAGTTTGAAGCAGAACAACGTAACCAGTAAAAGTAGAACAATTTGTTTTTGTATTGTTACACAAAGATCTATAGAGGCGTGATAAACAGGCGGACTCCCAACTATGTGTTTTTATTTTATCTATATCCTCTAATAAAGGTAAATACATAATATGAATAACGTTACCACTTGCATCCGAAAATAAAAATAAACATATTAATAGCATGATATAAAATCTAGTTTTTATTATTTTCCCATTTTAAGGAGAATCTTCGGCTAATCTTATTACACTATAATTTCTTTTGAGCCATGTTCATTTAAGTTTTTGACCCCTTACATCTCTAGGAGTCAAGGTTACGCCTAAAAATTGTTCAGTAATACTTTCAGCAACATTTGTGGGACCATTTACCGCCTTACCATTAATTGGTAAACCCAACAACATGTATGCGTCTTCAAGGTAACATTACATTCACCTGTTGAAAAATGGAATGTATGCGTCTCGGGTCGCCACCTTTCTTGAAGAGCAAGAATAAACTTTGTATTCACAAAATAACTTTTGAATTTTATGAGGTCTCCAAATCTGGTGTGCTCCAAATAAGGTTTAATTAACTCATCATGTGTGACATAATTATGGACACGAGTTCGAAAGTCATGAGGATTCTAAGATAAAAATAGTGAGATACAACATAATGAAAAAATATATTTAGCAAATATATTTATATTGGAATATTATACTTACATAAGATGCAATGTTGTTCAATGTTCCTCTATGATCTTCTCCCATTGTTGAAAGAGTCATTTTTCTTCACTAAGTAGGAATGTGATTATTTCAAGTTGGAGTAGCAAGAGTATTTGTTGATGAGTATATGAATGGAAGACAACATGTATTTTAGGTAAATAATAGTATGAAAAAGATGACCAAAATAAATGAAGTATAGGTGGAATACATTGATGGCATTTAAGAAAAAAAGTTAATTTTAGCAGTCTGCATGCATGCAGAGGTGCATGAAAATTTTCTGATGCATTAAATGATGGTTGCCCTCACATTGGTGCCCTAGTTCATTTTTAGATGGGGGTTGCCCTTACATTGGCGCCCTAGTCTATGTTTTAGGAGGGGGATGCCCTCACATTGGCGCCCTTGTGCAATTAGGAGGGGGATGCCTAGCTATTAGTGTCCCCTTTAAGAGTAACCTTGATTTTTTTCTCCATAACTTATATAAATCCGACTGTGGAGAAACTAACCATTATTTACACTACATTTCACTACACAAAAAAGATGTCTACAACAACAAATTATATTGTTCATTCTCATATTAATGGAGAAACACACGTCTCTGATATTTCAAAGAGAGAATAGAGTCAAAGATAATGTCAGGTCCGATCTCTCAAATTATATATAAAAATCTCGTATTTTTTGAAGATAGTAAGGTCAAGTATTTTCAGCCAAGGCACGAGATGATGAAGATGTTCAAAGCATGTTTGAAAGCCATGAACACTCTAGGTTCGACTATATTAGGTTGTATTTATTACTCAGTCAGCCTTGACAATCCCAAATTTTTGGCGAATCTTAAGTAATAGATCAATCTCAAGTATTTGACCAATCTCAGACGTTGGAGCAAGATGAAGTTGATGTTGTCGACGAAGAGAAAGAAGAAACTGAGGCCATGGTTGATCAAATGATGAATTTGTTTGGGACTGGGGACTACACTATAATCACTCCAGTTGAAGATGTAGATCAAGAAGCATTACCATTAAGTTAGGTCTACTGTCCTTCCCAACACATGACTAAATTGCATTTGGATGGAGAAGATCCATCCTCGAATCTATTTTACAATCCTTCTCAACAGATCAAAGGTGTTTTAAAAGTGGGGAACCAGTACAGCACAAAAGCAAAATGTATGCAAGCTATAATAAGGTTTCACATGGATAAATCTGTTTATTTTAAAGTAGACCACACTGATGTAAAATACTATGTGATAGTATGTCGTAACAAACTTTGCAAGGTTCAATTAGCAGCGTCCTATCGGAAGAGAAGTAATTGTTAAGAGATAGGTTCGATTGATCCACCACACAGTTGCACAACCACCACTATTGACAAGATCATGGTAAACTAAGCTCTCAATTAATATGCCAAGAGATTTTGCATCTTATGAGCATAAATTCGTCTGTGAAGGTGGGCATCATTATCTCCCATGTCGTTGCACGATTCAACTATACTCCATCATATAGGAAAGCTTGGATTGCAATAGTTAAGGCAGTTGAACAGTATATCTTAACTGGGAAAAAACTTACAATCAACTTTCACATTATTTGTTAGCACTTCAAAATATGTTCCTGAAACGTAGTAGTATTGGAGTCGCTTCCAGCATATACTCCTGATGGAATATATGTTGATGGAAGTAGGATATTCTCTCGTCTCTTCTGGGCATTTCAATTGTGCATCAAAGGTTTTGCATTCTGCAAACCTGTTATTCAAGTTGATGGAACATGATTGTATGGAAAATATAAAGGAACATTTCTAATGACAGTTGTACAAGACAAAAACAATAATATATTTCCAATTACCTTTGCTCTAGTTTAAGGTGAAACTGGTGGAGGTTAAAGTTTCTTCCTTAGGAATCTCAGAACACATGTCGCTCCGCAATCCAACTTATGCTTGATTTCTGACAAACATGCCTCTATTGTGAGCGCTTACAATAATCCTGCTAATGGTTGGCACAATCCTCCTTTTGTCTATGTCTACTGCATAAGACACATTGCTCAAAATTTCATGCGGAAAATAAAAAATAGAAATCTTCGTAAAGAAGTTGTGAACGCGGGGTATGCCTTAAACCAACCATCATTCATGTACTACCACGAAGAAATAAGATTGTCAAATGTGGAGGCATTAAGATAGGTGGATAACATTTAAGTGGAGAAGTGGACAAGGGAATTTGATGGAGGACGCCGATGGGGTCACGTGACAAAAAACCTTATGGAATTCATGAACGACGTATTTAAGGGCACTAAAAACCTACCCATCACTGCGTTAGTGAGAGCAACCTATTATAGGTTAGGATTATTATTTGTAACCAAAGTTAAAAAAATGGAGCGTGATATTGGAATCAGTGCAATTATTCAGTGAAACCTGCATGAAATTTATGAAGGAGGAAACTATTAAAGCGGCCTCACATCAAGTTAGAGGATTTGACCGTCACGATTACAGTTTCATTGTTGACGAGATAAATGATCACAACAAGGGTTGGCCTACGAGATACTATAGGGTGGAAACTCATAAAAATTGGTGCGACTGCGGAAAGTTTCAAACCTTCTGTATGCCTTGTTTCCATGTCATTGCGGCATGTTTCAATGTTCGTCAAAACCCATTCTTGCAACTATCAGAAGTTTACAAGGTCAGTAACTTATTCGGTATCTCCAAAAATAGATTTCCAATGGTAGCTATTGAGGACTATTGGCCTACCTATCAAGGGGGCACAAGTTACCACAATGAAAACATGAGAAGAAACAAAAAAGGTCGCCCCAGAAGCACGGGAATTAGAAATGAAATGGATACAACTGAGAAAATGGAAAGATTGTGTGGAATATGTCGTCTTCCCGGTTATACAAGGAAACGTTGTCCCAATATTGGAACAAGTTCTAAATAGATATATTTATGTCGTTAAAAAATTTGTAACACTGGAATTTAATATGGATAACACCTTCTGGTTACAAGAGAACAAACTAAAATAGTTCATAAACAACAACACAAACCATTAAAATAGCAATACCTACTGCCGAGGTCTTCTGGGAATCTACTGCCGAGATTAACCAGGAAAAGAAATGTCTTTGAAATAAAACCTCCCCGAGCGTCATGGTGTGGGAACCATGAGCTGGTCTCAGTTTCTTGAAATAACTTCCCCATGCTTCATGGTGTGTTTGCCATGAACGGGTCTCAGTCTCTTGATGTAAAACCTCCCCGAGCGTCATGGTGTGTTTGCCATGAGCTGGTCTCAGTTTCTTCCTGAAATGATGAAAACTCATGAGAGCGTCTTCACAGGGGATTGAAAATTTTATAGATTGTAGGATCATTGTAGTTTGTAGATGTTATTGTAGAACTTCGGTTGTAAGCCATAATGTACTGGAGGTTGCAAAACTTCACCGGGGATCTTCAAGAGAGAGGTGAGCCGGTTGAATTATAAAGTATGTCTTCTCACATAAAGAGAGACTAATGTGATAAATTTCCTCAACTTCTCTGGGGAGATGTCGCTTGATGGAAATAAACTTGTGTGATGAACTCGCTGGGGAATACATTCCTGAGGAGCATCCTAGCTGTTGCAAAATGTGTGAATTCTCAAATAAAGAGAAATATCTGTAAGGTTTTCCATTTACCAAGTCGATAATCACTGGGGATGGACAAACCGTCTTGAAGAGAATGCCATTTGTTGTTTTGATAGAAAATTTGATTGAAAGTGAGTTGCTCAAATAAAGAGGTTGACTTCAATCTAGATGTAAATTGTTGAGAAAAAATCTTGTAATCTTGTTGAAGAAGTAACTTGTCTTCAATGATGATCTTCATAGAGACTCTTCTTGGGGAGCAAAGTGCAAAATAAATGCACGCTTAAGTCATAGTCAAAAGTTGGAGATATCCAAAATGTGATTGTCAGAGACCGAAATTCAATTTAGGAAATAACTGAAGAGAAACTGTCAAGCAAGACTTGATCATTGAGGCATGAACTCAAATGGGATTATACTAAAATAACCGTCTTCCACGAGGATCGAACTCTTTGGGGAAATAGAAGTATGGCGCTTTTTCTGCCTAGGGCTGACAACTCTAATTGGAAGGAGAAGACGCGCCCAACTACTCGGGGATAACCACGACCAAAAATGACAGAACCAACAAGCAAAAGGATGCAAAATGCATATGCCATGCTATCTACTTATATGCTATGCGTATGCCTATGCTGACAAAACAAGCAAGGAAAAGCAACCAGAGATGAAATAAACATCTCGAAGCAAACATCCAACCAATCTTCAAAGATAGAAGCACCACTGGGGATAGGCGGAGAACCAAATATGGGATCATAATCCTGCTTCAAGGTCTTAAAATTTCTTCTGGGGAATAGAGAACATTCCACTTAGGGATGTAACATCTTGATAAATCGAAAGGTAATCCTGCTGAAAATGAGAGTAAAGATCTACTAGGAGTGGATCAAACTCAATATTGCAGAAACTCCATGGATAAAATAAATATCCATTTTGATAAAGAATCCTGGATTATCATAGTCGTTGAAAATGTTGTAGCCAGACTCAAAGGGGATGAAATAAACACCCGCCTCGCTGGGGGAGATCGGCGTTGCAAAAGATCCACTGGGAATTGAACATTTGTCCACTTCATTAGGAAGGTGAAGTTGGAGAAGATCCACTGAGGATTAAAATAGTATCCACTTCATTGGGGAAGTGAAGTTTGAGCAAATCACTGGGAATTCTCAGGTTACCAAATGGAGATTTCTTGTGTCGAAAAGCTTCATCGGAGAAATGTCATGACCACCTGGAGTAAAATTTACCGGGGAGATGAAGAATGTTGTGAAAACAAAGTAGCTATGACTTGATGAATTGTGTGGTAGTCGCCATTTGAATAATAGTTTGTTGCACAGGGATAAGATAATCTTCGTTTCTCAAATGCCCCAAGCCCTATGGTTATGAGAAGAAGTCATTCCAAGAGGATTTTACAGAAAACATGGCATCATAAATGTTCCAATGTTTCCAAACTCTTAAAGAGATTCATCGAATCTCGACGTAACTGGCTCTGATTGATGGTATTATAACTGAGTCTTTAAATATAGCTCTCTAGGCGAAGTCGAACTTGTAAAGAACAAAGCACTTGGAAAAAAATACTTGCCCCAGTTTAACAGAGTCTTCAATTTTCAAATAGAACAAGCTTGATGCTGATGCTCGCCTGTAAACCTTCTATGGCATCGGCAAAATCAACACGTATGAAATGTTAATTCTGAAGCTGTTAATGCAACACACGTTTGTCTTGAAGTTTTTGAAAAGGGATATCACAATAACTTGTGACCGAAATCACTAGTTAGGATATAAATTTATTTTATAAAGCCAATACTAAAATTTGAGCATAACTCACAGGAGTCAGGAAACGTTATCTCACTGAGTATGCTTTCGAATTAAACCTTACTTCAATTAGGACTTTTGAGGGTTATATCAGGGCTTAGCTTACGATTTGTAAAACAAAGGAACAAAGGTCAAAGTATATTTGTACCCAGCCATTTTTTAGAGTTGTTCACTACCTTTGAAAGGTTTAAGTGTCCAATCGAGCTGACTGGAAATTTGGCCCAGGCTAAAAATGAGGTTAAAAATGGTTAAAGAGGAATTAACCGCTTTACTTCTAGTGTTTAGGAGGTTTGAAACAATACCTTACATCATTAGTTGATTTTATTCAAAAGCATACATCAAGAGATCACGCGTTTTACTTCGTCATCCTCCTCCCAATTCTTTCTCAAAGTGAGGAAAAAAAAAGAGTAAAGTTGGCATTATAAGTTATGAAAAATAGTTTACGAGTGAAGCGAATGGATTTCTTCAAGACAAACAGTTATTGCATCAACGTTCGAAATAAACAAATTCTTACATGCCAATTATGCTTTTAATCAAGGAAAAAGAAAGTACACATAAGCAAACACAAAAATAGGTGGTCAGCATAACGGTGTTCCATTCACGATTGGGTTTCCTCCCTTGAAAGTTAACAGTTCATCATCTATCATCTCTTGGACTTTCTCTTGGAAAACTTTGCACTCTTCAATCGAATGCCCCAACGCTCCATCATGAAATTCACAGCTGGCATTTGAGTTGAACCACTGCGGACGAGACTTCATGATTCTAGTCTTTCTGGGCGTCATTACCGAGTTTCGGATGAAATAAGACCATAGCTGACTGTAAGTCATTGGGATAAGATCAAACCAGCGAGTTTCTTCTTTCGGAATACTCAGAGGTGCCTTCTGACTCTGAAACTGCCTTCGAACCTGTCGATTCTGATGTCGATCTGGAGATGTTAACCTTCGCTTATGAGGTAATTACTGCTTGCGCTGAGCAGGCGCTTCATACTGATGTTGAGGATGAGGTATTGGAACTAGATTTGGCAGGATTGCATTAACACCAACACTTCTTTCCTCTAGGTAATCACTAACTGATATCTCTTTAATAGCTTGGTTATTCAAGTTATCTTGAAATCTTCCACTTTTGAGCGTGTTCTCAATGTTTACTCCGACTTCCAAAATCTTTGAGAAATCTAATGGCACAACGCCTACCATTCTACCATAATACGAGTCTGGCAATGTTCTTAGAAACATCTTGCTTAATTCTTTCTCTTGAAGTGGTGGGTGAACTTGGGCTGTCAACTCTTTCCATCGCTGAGCAAATTTCCTGAAAGATTCATTGTCATTCTTACTCATACTCATCAGTTGATCACAGTCTGGAGCCACGTCCAAATTATAATTGTATTGCTTCACAAAAGCATCAACTAAATCTCTCCAAGACTGAATTCGATTCCTTTGTAGCTTTATATACCATAATATCAAGGATGCCCCAGATAAGCTTTCTTGAAAGCAGTGAATCATCAATTCGTCATCGCCAACATAAGCAGCCATCTTTCGACAAAACATCGTCAAATGGTGTCTTGGACAACTAACACCCTTGTAAACTTCAAATATAGGCATCTTGAACCTTGAAGGAATAATTACGCCTAGAACTAAACACAGGTCATGAGCATCAAGATCAGATGCATTAGCTCCTTTCATAATTTTCAATTGTTCTTTAAGATCACGGAATTCTTTCTCCATTGCTATGAATCTAGGATCATCCATCCTTTTATCAATACAGACATTCTGAAGATTAGGTATGGGCTATGGAAATCGGGAAACTCTTTCATCAACTTGACCAACCAGGTTATTGATCGCGACTTTCTATGTCTAACTCAATTAACTGCAAGTGCACAGTCTATCGCGTAGTAATAATAGATATCGATCCCACAGGGACTCGTAATCAAACTAGTATTTTCGGGTGTTACTGTGTTTAGCTAGGTTGGTAATATTTTAGGGGAATAATAACGAAATAAGTGTGTAAACTAAAGGGAACTAAAGCTTTTAATTAAGGTATAGATGCTTGAATCGGTATGTAATATGTTACTTCTTCAGGGATTCTATAGATCACCGGTGTCTTTAGGTTTTCAAAAATAGTTTAAGGAGAAAATGATGGTTTAAAGACCTTTGTCTCATGATGGTTGTTGACGCTAGTCGCAACTCTAAGGCGGAACGTATGTTGTCGCTATCCCGTTCGGGGTTAAAGTTACTTTTTGAAAACTATTAAGTTCTAATTCCTTTTAAAGCGCTGTCGCTGTTTTTAAAATGAATGCCTAGTTTTTACTATCTGGTCTTAGCCTCAGTTGTCGCTTGTTGGTTCGTACCTTTATGAATTTCCCACTGTCGTGGCAAAACTACTGTAAATAATTTCTCGCTGTCGCGACGAAGGTTTATTTAGAAAAATCGATTTAGAAACTGAAGCCATAAATAAGTTTTTGAAAAGGTAGATATACACCGGTTAATTATTGAATCCCATCAGATTGTTTATTACATACCGATTACTTAAGATTTAGTCA